GCATATTAGTAATTTACAGTTTTCGTTTAATTTTTTGCTGAAATTTATAAATCGTTTATGATTCTGTTATATTAATTAAATCTGGTACAGTCAAATTTGTATGCAAAATGATATGAAGAAATATGGTGTTTAAACTTACTGTAAATACGGTATCTATTCTGCATATCCGGTACTCAATCCGATATTCTATTTCGTGAAACTTTTGAAACAATTATCCAACTCAAACAACTTACAAACTGACTCGATCATGGACATAGCTAAAATTTTAGAGTTGTGGAAGCAAATTTTACGAAATTTTAGTTGTAGGGACAAAATTGAAAATTATTAATGAATTTTTCGAAAATCTTGAAAAACGTTGTGAAAATTTTCGAATTTAAAAATTAGTGTAGGGATTAGTGACCCCACTATAGATCCGCCCATGGGCTCCATGTCATCCCATTTTACCAATTGCTATTGCAATCTTTCCCACATGCATATATATTTTAAAAAAAAAGACATTCTTTCATTACTATTCAACTTGAGAACAGAGATAATACATTCCACTTATTGAACAATATTCTAGGATGAGTCAGTAATCCCTGGATGCAAAAGGTGCTAACTTAGCTTACCATCTTACTACATAATCAACTTGGACAAGTATAACTTAACCCGATTTTAGGCGTGGATGTCATACACTAGCTTGTAGACATCTGAGCACCAAACAATCCAAATTTAGCACGAAATGAAAATATATTTCTAAACGCCGTAGATCCAACTTTACATAGACATGGCAAATCTAAGGATAAAAGAAACATGATATACATCCGTAGATTTGTTTGGTATTCAAGGGAATTTTATTTCTACGGGGGCTCAGGTAACCACATTGTCAGCAAAATTTGATGTTTACGATGTACAAGCATCAAAACTTACAATCAATGTGAATTTTAATATTGGCACCATAGAAAGTAAGAAAAGAAAAAATTACTAAGAGGAAAATCTAAAGTCGAAAATTCCAAATATAATAACATAATTCTTAGCATTATAAATTTCAGGAAACACCAAAATGAATAAGATAATTAGTAACTCTACAGCAAAATACGACCAAACTGTTTTCGCACCATTAGCTGCTGCAGCTGCAACTGATCACTCAAGAGGGACAACACAGAAACCTTATCTTCTAGTGGGAAAGACAGAATTCTTCATAATAATAACAGATAAGGTCTTGAAAAAGCAGCTTTCAGATCATCCATCCATGTTTTTCCCCATACAAGAGTTTCCAATTCTGCAACCATATCATGCGTTGAGAATCTTTTTCTCAAATGGTCCCAAAGGAGCAGGCAATCGCTTTTTCGGGCCAAAGGAACTGCTTAATCAATGTCAACATTAAAAAATGCAAGCACCCTGAGGGCTTGAGCATTATATAGTTATTATGTACAATCTGGCATGCAATTGAGCTTGATAATCAGATTCTTGGTCAGTGTCTTCAGGTTGATGTCATTTCCTCATGCTAATGATATACTACCATGTTACATCCTTTAGCTACTCAACAAATCAAATTCTATGATGATTTTGGAAAGTTCGGAAAAAGTAAACCAGAAGCGAAACTCAAACATGTGGAGAACGTCTTTATTTCCTATATCACTTGCCCACCTTAATTTGAAGGTTGGTCATTTCAACATTCGTCTTTTCAACACTGGATTCACTCTTTACCTCATCCTGGGTCTGATTTTCTACATTGAGCCATGGATGCTGTAGGCACTGCTGGGCAGTAGGTCGTTTATCAGGGTCAAAATCAAGTAGGGGACAAAGAAACTTAGCAAATTCGCAAGCATCAGTGTCAGAAAAGTTAAATTTATCAACAAGAAATCTATCAAGTGGTCGGTACTTCAGCCTTCGAATCCTCTTCAGGTCCCCATATCTGTCAAAGTAATCTTTGGATCGAGCCCCGTTTGTGGTAATCTGGAATTTAATTTTTTATTTTAGAAAGAAACAACAGTCAGACGAAATTCTTAATCAGCCAGAGGAGAAGAGAAGATGCGATTACCTTCCGAGGCATCTTTCCAAGGTGCTCCATCATCAAAGCAAGGTGATCCTATAGCCAAACATAAACTTCCATTAAAGAAATAAAAAGACCACAATTCCAGACAAGATATTAGACTGAAAAGAATGGTTGCAGGTAGGTTTTATAATCGCTGATGAATATTTATTGTTACTTAAAAGTCAAATTGTAACTTCATAAAAACTAAAGAGGGACAGGCTAACGAATTCAAGAACAGGAAAATTGACTGCAGCATAATATTTTGTACTTATTACAGAAAGTAGCAAACTGCCACGGATTTGAACCCACAATTTCACTGTGGCGAAAAATATTTTAAGCTCACTCTTGAAGACGTGCAAACCTGAGCAATTTAATAGCACGTTAAAAGATGGCCTCGTGACCCAACGAAAACAAGAAAGGTCACCAATTAAGGGTTAAACAAACTAATTGCAAACTCCTAGGTGAAATCTATCTCCCATGACTGTCCAATTTTTAGTTAAACAAAGATAACTTGAAAATTCACACTGAAGAACCTGAGAAAAGGATGGCGAGGACGATCTCAAGCTTCTATAATGCATAAAAATAAAATACATTACTGGCATGACAGTATTACCTCATCTTCACTGAAGCCTTGTCCACTCTTGGGAGTAAACATCATCTCACCAGTGGCAAGCTCAAAGGCAGTACAAGCAAATGACCACATATCTGCAGGAAAAGAATAACCAGACTGGAGTACAATTTCAGGAGCTCTGTATTGTCGTGTTTGAATTTCTTCAGCAAATGGCTTATCAGCCCAGCACGCATTTCCAAAATCCACAACCTTACACCTCAAGTCAATTCCATCCAAGCACCTAGCAGGCTTTGGAGGCGCCCCAAACCCTCCCATAGAAGCTCGTCTTTCGGATATTCTAGCAACTGCTCTCCGTGCCCTTTGCTTTAATTTTTTCTCAACAAAATTTATGGTTGCTCCGCCATTAGGGTTCCCCTCCGGCCTTTCAAGAATAGGGGTCATCCCAGACCTAGTAGGATCTTTGGTAGGATTAATGGTGGAATATAGAAGGATATTTTCAGGTTTAAGGTCTGTGTGTATTAGTCCAAGTTCCCTATGTAGGTAATCCAGACCAGTCAAAATGCATTTGCATATCTCCCTAACTCTATTCAATTCAAGGCCTTTGTACCGATTATACTTGATTAGACTCAGTAAGCTATCACCAAGAAATTCCAGGACCATGCATGGATGCTGCCCATTTGGGCCACTATGCTTAAAGTGGTCCACTAACCGCACGACAAATTTAGAGTTTGAGGGGTCGCCCTCAGCAATGGCTGAAAGGACCTCAATTTCATGGGTAGCAGCTTGAGCGAATTGTGGAGCACTTTTCTGGATCTTCAGAGCGACATATCTCTATGAGTAAGACAATACATCACAAAACAATCAAACATTAGAACAATAAAAACATGGATTTTTCTTGAGAACAACAAATTACAAAGCTTTATCATTCCCCAACAATTAGTCAGGGAAAAAGAGAGAAAAAAAAAGAGCAACACGGCTCAGATTTTGACACACTAGAGATAAAGCTTCCATAAATAATTTTGCACTGCCCACTGTGCATACTTCCATTAGAAGCTGAAATATTGAGCATAGGATTGTGGAAAGTAGATGGACTATAAAGACTAAAGAGTTTAGAGATCAATTCACACAGACCAATTATTGATCCAACAGGCATCACTAAAAATAGCACACTGCCAAACTATGACTGATTCATTCCGTATTCTTTTCCCAGTATTGAAGAACCAAAGGTGTAATATTATTTATTTATTGTCATATAAAGAAATAGTCTACAGACATGTTGAGATCATGAAAAGGCTAATATTACCCAAGCAAGTAATCTGACTCAAACATAACAGTAGCAGTAGTTCCCAAGCGTAAATAAACAGTAATATGTAAATAAATCATTAAATTAAAATAAACATAAAATAACTGTGATCTCTAATGAATACACATAAATAAAAATGCGAAATTGGAACAAGAAAAACGCACGGACGATCGAGTGTCGTAGGCGAGCCAGACGGTGGAGAACTGGCCCCAGCCCAGTTTTCGCTGGGCGATGTATAGCCCACCGGCGAACGAATCGCCGAGTCTCACGGCGTGGTAGCCTCCTTTTCTGTAGGAATCAATTCCCTCATCCTCCTCTTCCGATCCTGATGACGACGAGCAAGACATGTTGATAAACAATATACTAAACGAAACGAAACCCTTAACCACAAAGTTACAGATTCTTTGATTCAATCGGATGAGTTTACACAGAAAAACATATACTGATTTTCGAATGGGAGGAAAAGTTGCTTGTTTGTGCAACAGAGAACATAGAAGTTGATTGTTTTTGTGATTTGTTTAGTATTTGTATTAACATTAATATTATTAATAATAATGGAGAAATGGGGAGATCTGTGGCCTTTAATACAAGACTCTCTCCACCTTTCGCTCTTCCTTTTATTAGCTGTGGTTTTGTTTTTTCTCTTTTCAATTCTGTTTTGCAATAATTTTCTAATTTAAGTTGCTTGAATTTAGGAAAGAACTTGGTACTTATTAGACTAAAAAATCACACGTCTTTCTTTTTTAATCATATTCAGTTGATTTTTCGATGACGTGTTTAGTACGTTAAGTAGGATTTGAAAGAGTAACGAGTATGTCAGGTATCTCTCTTCATAACTGCACGGTTATTACCCCCTGTACAGAAAGAAGCCAACCAGAATTTGGCCAGAATACACACAAATGCGCGAGGCCCACTATGTATTTAAAAATAATAATAGTGCACGAGACCCACAAATGTGTGTACTTTGGTGAAATTCTTTGGGCTTATTTTTGTACATCTAGCCCTCCTGTAATTGTACTCTAACAACGACGACTTCAATGTGTCAGATATTATTTTGTAACGATACAACAATTTAAGAGTATCAAATCATTTTTGATCAACATCAGAATTTGTAAACGTTAGTCTATCTTGTTGAGTTAGCGGTTGATTAAACTAGACTCCAGTTCATTTAATTTGAAGTCGGATACCAGGTCAATTTACTCCAGAATAATTTAGTTAATTGATCAACTCGACTCCAAATAAATAAATCAAAAAAGAAATCGTCGTCGTCGTCATCATCATCTTGATTTGAGCTAGATCTGATCGTGCTCTTTTACGTACGCCACAGATCATGAAGAGGAGATGTCTTTTGTTGGGTGAGATGGAGTATTCAATGGGAGACATAAGTTCCACCTTCCCAACTCTCATTTCACAAATGATTTATTATGTACTATTAAAACATTTTCCACCGTTTTATATTATTCGAATTTAATAACAAAATCTTTACTTATTTTCAATAATCAAATTCCCCTAAACATCTTATGAAAATTTAAAAGACCATTGTATCAACTCATTTTGTTCTTGACTATCATAACAACTGTACTATGAATTTTAATTGCACGTTTTAGTTTTGACGTCTTGTACAAATCGAAAATTTGACATTTAGAGCCTGTTTGAGAGGCATTATTCCATCAGAAGTAGAAAATTTTGACTGTTATTGTACCAAAAATACAGGCTTTTTTCTGACATGCCTCTCACAGGTAGGCCTGGTTTTGCAGAGTAACAATCACATTTCTTATATTAATGGCTGGAATAATGCCTCTCCAACATGGGCTTAATAAAAAAAGTGGTAAATTTTCGAAAATAAATTCTAATGTAACATATAAACCGACGAGCCCACTAAGTCAAATTAAATGCTGTACATACGACATATTCAATTCTATTTGGGTCTAGACTTTAATATTGGTATCAGATCAAATTCACCATTCTAGGTGAAGATCCACAAACCTAGATATGGATAGAAGGTCAAAGGAAAAAAAAAAAGGGTTGCTCACGACCCAATTCGAAAATCTCAAAATGAAAGAATGATGAAAAGTCAGAAGATTTTTATGCAAAGCTATGTGACATTTAACGCTTCATATGCACTTGGAAAAAATACTTAGATGTCAAATTTTAGAGAAAAATTCTAAGATCCTTGCCACCCGGATTTGTCATTTGAGTCTAAATTGACAACCATTGATGAGATGAAGGTGTAGGAAGTAGTAGGTCGCTATAAATTTACGAGATGGTGCATTCACGAAGCAGGAGCAAAATGCATCATCGATTACTTTTCGAGGCGAAGAGATGGAGGAGGAAGAAAATGACAATGAAACTAGTGAATAATTTGAAATGCTTCATTTTTATTTTTTATTTATTTTTTAATAGATTCCTAAAAATAACCTCCAAAACCAGAGAGCTACAAATTCCCCCGTATGAGAAGTTTATGCCAAAAAGATTGAAATCGAGTATGCAGTCACACTTCAGACACATCGCCAATACAGGAAGGAAGCATTCAAAAAGAAAGAAATTAATGTGAGTGAAGAGGATGAAGATAACTCAAAGAGGAGAAAGAGACATGCAATGAAAACACGTAACTTTTGCATAATTAAAAATTACTAAATTTTGAACGCAAACTAAGTTACTTGAAGAAATTGAGTGTCTTTGCATAATTGAAATTGAAACTGAAGTAAGACATTGCTCGAATTATGGAACAAAATAAAGTTCTTCTAATACGATGTCGTTACTTTCATAGATATTGTAGCTTATGTGCCAATCTCAGACTGAAATGCCATTTACTGAGATCTCTAATTCCTCAAAATCTATATTCAATTGCAAATAC